GTACCTAGATCGCAGGCTCCTCCCTGGCTGGGGACCAGGTCAGGGCTCATGCAGGAGGCAACCAATCAAAGTGTTCCTCTCACTTTGATGTTTCTCTCTGTCTTTCCCTTTCTCTTACACATTCTCTAAAATTCAATGGAAACATATACTCAAGTGAGGATAAATGAATAATAATAAATTATTATTACATGAAAGACACATGTTGAAAATGCCTAAAAGAAGTTGTCATTTTTTCATGGTGAAGGGATCGGAGTGCGTGTTGATGAAAAAACCTTGCTGACTGCGGTGACTGGCAGTGGCTACAGCAGCGGGGTGATGGGGCTGGTGCCTTCCCCTGATCAGCCCGGTCACCTCCCACAAAGGGAGGCCAGACTGCGGCTTAGGACCTATCCCCAAGGGGAGCAAGGAGCCGGCCTAAGCCGTCACTAGGATATCCCCTGAGGGCTCCCAGTATGTGCAAGGGGGCAGGCTGGGCTAAGCCCCCCGCCCCCCGCCGCCGCCGCCAGTGCACGAATTTCGTGCAGCGGGCCCCTAGTATATTATAAAATGATACAGAACAGTGTCATTAGTATGCAAATTGTTTCCTCGACTGGGAGTTCTTCCAGGAGTGTGACCAGGGGCGGGGCTGGCTGGAGGAAAGGAGGGAGTACCTGGCCAGCAGCTGCCAGCTGCTAGGGACCCTACCAGTGCATGAATTTGTGTTTTGGTTTTTTACCGGACCCCACAGATTATGTATCCTGCCCTAAATGATAACCTACATTAGGAAACTATGGATGAAGGGACCTCAGCAGTGGGAGAAGGCGTGGTCCTCCAAAGTTACCACGCGCTCAGAGGGCAAGAGTAGCCTTTAAATATTCACCGCCCTCACCGTTGGTAAGGCTAGCGAACCAGTCAGGTGGAATGTTCCTGCTCCTCTCACCTCCATCTTCACCATCTACCTCCAGTCCTTTCCAACCCCGAGAGGGCTAAAGCACTTAGAAAGGGCAAGCAGATTTGGAGTTTTCATAAACTCTCCCTTCCCAAGTGGTGCATGTGAAACCTGCTGCAGAGCCTAGCCGGCTGGGGAAGGGGAGCTGGCTTATCACTAAGCTGGATATTCTGATAGCCAAAGGGAGACTGTTTTGTGTCTTAAAGTGACTATAAGACTTGTTATTCGATAAAAGTAATTGGAAAAACCATGGGGATTTCTTAGGTTTTCATCCAGGGCTGAGGGATGAGTTACTTAGGAAACAAGTGAAAGACAAAATGAAACTTCTTTTGAAATTGCATCTCTGAAGTGATACTTATTTGGTGTATTGATTACATAAGAATCTACAAATATCAAATGTTTTTTGATTCATGAACCATGTTAACTTTTAAGTTTCAAATGATGCTCGGAAAGCCAGCTTAGATTTTAATGGTGAAATTGAACTTCTTGTAAACAACATCTCCCAACTGATGTAATTTGGTAACAGGAAAAAACAATGCCATTTGCACTTGTGTTTGTCTAGTTGTTGGCTCTCTGACAGTGGTCTGAAAACGAAAAGTTTAGTTCAAAGTGGTTGCTTCCAAAGTGAGGAAATGTATGTAATATATCCTTAGAAAACACGCTTAACATTTTGACAGTTAAGCTTGATTTATAATAAAATAATTTCATTTTCCACTAGCAGTGACATAGAATAATTTTTTTTCTACGGGCTCTTCTAAATGACCTGAGTTGGGAAAATGTGGCTAGTTTTCAATATATTCCTACTGCTATTTCCAATTTTATGTGAAGACTGTTGTAGGCTAATTATCTAAAATTGCATTTAGTGCCATGTGGATGTGCAATTAACTTTGACACTGATAGACTGACAGAGTAAAATGAGGTTGCATTCTTTCCTGGGGTTCTATGAACTATATTTTAATGCCCTTCAATGATGGGATATTTACATCTTTTTAAAAAGATACGTACTTTTTAGAATTGATTTGAGAGAAACAGGGAGAGAGACAGAGAAGGAAAAAGAGACAGAAACAGAGAGAAACAGTGATTTGTTTTTCCAGTTATTTATGAATTCATTGGTTACTTCTTATACGTGTCCTGACCAGAGATCAAACCTGTTCCTTGGTGTATCGGAATGATGCTCTAATCAACTGAGGTACCTGACCAGAGAAAGATATTTACATCTTCTTAAATTTTCTGGAGTCTTTTTATTTTTAAAAATATGTTTCCTTTTTTTTTTTTTTGGAAAGGAAGGGAGAGGGATAGAGAGATGGAAACACTGATGAGAGAGAAACATTGATCAGTTGCCTCCTGCACTCTCCCTGCTGGGGAACCTGCAACCTGGGCATATACCCTGAGCAGGAATTGTCCTGGTGACCTCTTGTTTCATAGGTCAGTGCTCAATCACTGAGCCACACCAGCTTGGCTCTGGAAGTTTTTTGTAATTGTTCAAACTTTACAAAAGAGATAGTCTAATAAAAGTTATTTCACCATTAGTAGTGTATGTCTTTTCTCTGTAGTTATATCTTTTGCATGTTGTGAATGTTGTGGATTTTTGACTAAAAAATTTCATGATGTAATTTCTTTTTTGGCAAATATCCTTATCAATTCTTTCTGGCTATACAAAACTTGTAGGAGATTTATATTTTGTGACTTGGTAAGTATTATGTGAAATATAACATATGAATGTAATCGAGATAATTTTATTTTTGAACTTTTGGTAAAACTTATTTTAACTGTTGATCTTTCTAATTTTACTTTAAATTAGGGAAGGCTGCACCTAAAATTCAGTTCCTTGAAGGAGTGGACATCATGGGAAAATATATATTTGTATTATTTGTAATTTAAAAGCCAATTTAAAAGTACTGTAGACGGCAGCAGCATGCCAGACTATCAGGGGTTGGGGACACATTCCCCTCCCGTCTTGCTCCCTGCCTGACATCACACTTTAGCCATTACTCAGAACAGTTGTGAATACCTTTTGGGAAAGTAATCACAAAACCTTCTTATAAATATCTTACCTTTTTATTCCTTCAGTGCATTCCTCTGATTTTGTTTTAGGCTCGCAGGAAGGAGGTGTTTGTCCAGGAACGCTATGGAAGATTTAATTTAAATGACCCATTCCTGGCACTGCAGAGAGACTACGAAGCAGGTGCTGGCGATAAAGAGAAGAAGCCAGTCTGTACCAACCCCCTCTCCATCCTGGAAGCAGTCATGGGCCACTGCAGAAAAATGCAGGAAAGGATGTCCGCACAGCTGGCTGCTGCTGAGAGCAGACAAAAAAAGGTATTGAGACTTTCAAACGGTCATTTTCCCCAAAATACGGTGTAGAAGGCAGAAATGATCTCTGAGGTTATCCTTTGTTCTTAAATATTGTATTTTCAGGAAGAGTTGGAATAAGTACTTAGAAATGCAAAATTCTGACCAATTCTGGTGGTGGTTTTGAAATATCACTCAAAATTAAACAAACAAACAAACAAGTACAAAACACTAAACCAGAAAGGATGTCTGATAAAGAAATTATGTTTCCCATTAAGGTGACTTTAATACTTTCTTTAAAATAATAATTTTCCTTCTTTGAATTTCTCTTTTCTGCTGCTGTAAGACATGTTTAACTGCTAGGTAGGTGATCTAGTAATGCAACCAGGAAGGACTCTGATCATATGTGGTATCCCCAACTTACTTTATCCAGCTTCTATCTCAAATATTTCTTCAATATTAAAAATCGCTTACATTATTTCTTTGGAAAGTGAAACTAGCATGAGGAGAAGTAGAATGAAAGTTTGCGTGCAATCTCACTACATGTCACCATGAAGTCCTGGTTAGTCTCAGACTCGCCTCTGGGGTCTGATAGCTGTGTATACTGCAGACCTCCAGGCTCCTGCTCACTCACATGCCTTTCTTTTAAACCAACTTCCTCCCCACCCTTCGCCTCCCCTACCAGCACATACTTATTTATTGTGCATGAGTAGATGCTTCAGAGTCCTGAGTGATAAAAGCTTACTATCATCAGCCATGCGGAAATAGAAGTTTAAAGTTTGTCCTTCCAGTGTACAGACAAGCTATGAATTCCCTTTAGAAAAGAGAGTGAGGAAATTGTAGAAGCTAATGATGTCTAGTGTAATTAGAATTAAGAGCAATATGTTCTTTCAACTATCATTAAAACATAAAATGTTTCTATTTGTCCTTTTCAGAGAACTTGTTATAGCTTACATGTAACACCTGCTGGATAATCAAACTGAATGCACCATATTGTAAATATTTATGATACTGTCATTGATGTGTATGTCTTTTCTCTATAGTTATATCTTTGCATTAACATATGCATGCCAGTGTTCTGGGGGAGGGGGAGGGTTGAGAAAAAGCAACCGTTTTCATCAGGATGTCAAATAGTAAGAAAATAAAGCGCTGGGCAAATTAGTAAAGAAGAAAGAATTGAAGGCTTTCCATGGATGTGAGGTGGAATCAAACAGTTTTACTGAGGACGTTGCAAACCCTCTACAAAGCCCAGTGGACAACCACTGAGGCCTCTGGAAATTGTCAAAACTCCCCACAAACCACATAAGCAAGAGTTAATGTATTTTAGCTGATGCCACTGAAGCTCATTTGTATTTCTTGGATGATGCACATTTCATTTATGTTCTGAACATGTCAAATGAGCTATTTCATCATAAAGTTTTTCTGGGTTTTCTGCTATGTTTTCAGAAGTCAAGAAGATACTTTGTTTTCATTGTAGTTTTCACTTAATATACAAAAATGCATGCTTTCCTAAATTTTACTTCAGTTTTGCATTTTATCATTTCTCTTGTAGAAAAAGAAGAAACTCATTTTGAGATCAATGAAAGATTTTATTATCTAGCTTATTTTTGTAAATCAGCTTACATCCTGTTTCTTTCTGAATGGCTGGGCCATTTCCAACCTGGCTGGTAGTGAAAGGAAATCGTTTCTGTCTTGTGAGTCCTGACAGGCTAATATGAAATAAGCCAGTGATCTTTCGCTCACATATAACAGGGATACAGTGGTTCTTTATGGCCAAATTCATTGGCTGTGTAGTCTCTGACAGGCAGCGCTATCTTCTGTCCCTAAAGGATAGTCTGTTCTGGTAGACTGTAGCATGTAAAAAGAGTTACAGTTTCTACTCGTATCCTGAATCTTACAAAGAAAATATCACATCAAGTGATAAGGCCACAAAACAAAGAAGTCATCTTTTTAGCAACAAATCTACCTGTCATCTTTAGTTTTGAAGGTTTTTTTTTAATTTTTATATATTGAATTGAGAGAGAGAGAGAGATGTTGTTCCACTTATTTATGCATTCATTGGTTGATTCTTGTATGTGCCCTCACCAGAATCAAACCCACAACCTTAGCGTATTGGATGATGCTCTTAACTGAGCTACCTGGCCAGGGCCTGAAAGTATTTTAACCAGACATTTTCAGTACCCTTGCATATAAAGTAAATTGCAGCTTTATAAATCTAAAATCAGTAAGACAAAATAAATCCATTACTTTCCATCAGTCCAGTTCTTTAAATTACTGTCAGAGCAAAAGCCAGGGAAAGCAAAGGCCTTATTATCTACAATTGAGGCGTTTATTACCAGACACAGGCACAGCTCATGGTGATTCTAACACATTGGGCCTGAACGCTGCTCTGCTAGGCCTCTGCAGACGAGAGAAGGAGGCTGCTTGCTCACTCAAGCATTGGTTCCTGCTAGGACTCCTAATAGGAGGGTTGACTGGTCATTTGTGTGCCAGGAAAATTTGGGCAAGAATAAATTTGGGTAAGGACGGAGCGCTTAAAGCCGTTTTGAATAAGCTAATGAGTAATCATCATGGGAAACTTTGCCTCCAGTCATCTCTACATTTCGAGCCTGTAACCTAGATAGGTTAGAATGATATTTGGGGTTTTTATTACTTATCTTGTACACCATCTGTTAATAGAGTTTCTATCCTAATTTATTTTCAATCATTTTAGTGTGAGTGATTTCTAACCCTAAAATAGGAGGGACCTTATAATTTGAGCAGAGCCTTTAAAAGTAAGAAGCCAAGATAATAACTAGGAAATTCCTAAGGGAACAATATTTTTTCCACCAGTGAAAAAACTAAAAGTAGTTAGCTCTGTGTATTGGGTATAGCTTCTTCTAGGTGGCAGCTCAGCATAATGAGGTCAGTTGCATGTCAATAGATGCATCAGGCAGGGTTTTAGTTGTGAGCAAATGAAGTTGATTGAGTTAAGCAGAAAAAGTGTTTATTGGTTGTTTTACATTATGGTAGAGCCTGGCTGGGCCAGCTAGGGGACCAGCTCTTACCAGCCAGCATCACCAACAAATGCTCATTACAGATCCAGTCTGAGGTGGGTGATGTTTTTGCTCATGAGAGCTGGATACTGCAGCTTGCTGACTCCAGACAGCACCACTGCCATCACTGCTCTGGGTCTTGAGTGGTGCTTCCCTGGCCCTGCTTCTTTGCAACCCTCATTTCCCACTGGAAGCCTAAGAACAGGTGCATTTCATTGGTCAAACCTAAGCTCCACACCCTCTCCTCAGCTACAAGGGAGACTGGGAAAGCTGGACATATTTCACTTCTGTGGGGAAAATAATAAGGGGAGAGAATTCTCCCTAACAGGAAGCAGTTTCAGGTGCTAGACAACCAAAGAAATGACAGTTGAGCCAGAAGAGAATAATTCCGTTGTTTTAATTTCTTTCATAGGCTCCGCCTTGCTATTACAGCTCATTGTACTGCACTGCCACTTGTACAGTGCTCTCTACTTCATTACATAATGGTTTATAACATATAATTTAATTTTAAGTTGCTTCCTAGACTTTCATTCAAGGACAACATGGTGGAGAACCATCTAAAATAACATTTTTAGAAAGAGTATTTAGGACATTTTGTAAATGAGTGATTGTTTTTAGCTCATTCCTGAGTCTTCTTTTGTATGACTCATTGTTACATTTCAACATGTATTTGACTTCCCAGACACATTGCAGTGAGTGTTAAGAGAGAGCTGGAGATGTGTCTTATGCTTCCTCTCAAATGGGATATGTTCTTTTGCTGTATTTTCAAATTCATTGTCCTGTATAACTCTACTCTCTCAAGTCTGCTATTTAAGCCCATTCAATTAAGTTTTTTTTCCCCATCTTATTTTTATTTTACTTTTATTTTTTAAAGTTTTTACTCATTTCAGAGAGGAAGGGAGAGTGAGAGAGATATAGAAACATTAATGGTGAGAGAGAATCATTGATAGGCTGCTTCCTGCATGCCCCACACTGGGGACCACGCCCAAAACCTTGGGCATGTGCCCTGACCGGGAATTGAACCGTGACCTCTTGGTTTATAGGTCGACACTCAACCGCTGAGCCATGCCAGCTGGGCAACATTTTTTCATTTTATTATGCTTTTTAATTCTAGTTTTTCATTTGATTTTTTTTTCTTAGTTTCCATTTCTATGCCAAAATTCCCCCACTGTTCTATCATTGTGACCATATTTTCTTTGACAATAGCTGCTTTAGGGTCCTTGTCCGCTAATGCCAATGTGGATCATCTTGGACACAGTTTATATTTGAGTACATTTATTTTGACAATGGACCACTTTGAGTTTATTCGTGGGTATGGTATAAGTTGGTGGTCTAGTTTCATTGTTTTGCATGTACCTGTCCAGTTATCCCAACACCATTTATTGAAGAGACTGTCTTCACTCTATTGTATGCTCTTGCCTCCTTTGTCAAATATTAATTGAGCATAATGGCTTGGGTCGATATCTGGCTTCTCTGTTCTGTTCCACTGATTTGTATGCCTGTTCTTGTGCCAGTAGTAGGCTGTTTTGATTACTGTGGCTTTGTAGTATAATTAGATATCTGGTATTGTAATCCCTTCAGCTTTGTTCTTCATTCTCAAGATTGCTGAGTCTATTCAGGGTCTTTTTTGGTTTCATATAATTTTTGGAGTATTTTTTCTAGATCTGTGAAATACGCCATTTTGGTATTTTCTTGTGTTTTTTTTTTTTTTGCTGCTTCAATTTCATCAGTTTCATTGGCCTATTCAGCCCATTGCTTTTCATTACTTTGTATGCTTCATGCCACTCCATCTGGCCTGAAGTGTTTCCATTGATAAATCAGCTGGCGAATTGAGAAATCATCTGGGGATGTCCCATGTAGGTAACTTTCTGTCTCTTTCTTGCAGCCTTTAAGAGTCTTTCTTTGTCTTTAATATACATCATTTTAAAAATGATGTATAGTTGTGGGTCCTTTTGGGTCCATTTTGCTTAGGACTCTGTGTTTCCTGAATTT